ATTATGCATACAATGGACTCCGGACTAGATGCGTTCCTCTAAGTCTTCCTACCAATATGACCAAGTTGCGGAAAAAGTATTTAGTGCATAAGCGAACCAAATAAAATTATGGTACTTGCATTTGACCAGATTTTAAGGTGAAAGCAAAGAATTGTGAGTTACCTGAGATCGAGGTTTGATGGTGGACTGGATAGCCCTGAGGAAGTGGGGCCTCGAGAGCTGACCGGCTGGAAAGCGTCTCGCCAGACTTCAAGCGCACGGAAATAGATTCGGAGTGCAGCTTTGGTGCCCAAACGGGCGGCCTCTACACGAGCTAAAGTTAAGAGAAGACCGAGGTGGTCTTCGTTTGCTGCCATATCGGCCAGGCCGGCGTGAAGAGCGCGGATGGCCAAATCAAGAGGGCCGACCACTGGGTTTGAGGGGAAAAGAGGGCTTGACTGCAAATTATAAAAATACGGTGAAAGGAAGCATATTATTTTAAAGTATAAAGTAGAAAAGGTGAAATATTTAAAGCGCTAAAATCACTAATGTTTGTTAAGGAATTTGTGGATCACATTACTACAAATAACCTGAGGTATAGAAGAAAGATTCTCTCGAAATAAAGATGATTTAAACAAAATTTTATTAATATGAGGACCAGTATTATATGATGGCCGGTCTGGATGGTCGTCAGAGGTAGAGTAAAACAATGGATATCTGTGGAGAAATCTGCAATATCAATTACTGTAAGTAAAACTAAACACAACCTAGGTCAAACTTTTTGGCATTTAGGTTACATTTTATAGCATAGCTAATAACACTGTCTAACGAAGCAATAAATTTGAGTCTCTGTGAAGAATACTTTAGACATTGAGTTACAGGAATTAATTCCCTGCCAAGAAAAAAATTAAATTAATCTATATTCAGAGCAATTAAGTTTAGATATAATCATTAAATCATGACTCAAACTTCTAGTCACCCTAGGTCACATAAACTAATGAGTGACAAATGGTTTAATTTTCCCACAATAATATAAGTAGGCTTCACGATGCCATTGATTTCCAGTAAGCCATGACACCCTAAAGGTATTTTTATCCAGGACTAACTAAACTTCCTATTCAGGTCTCACAGGTCACTTATGGTGGCATCTTAAATTGTTATGACACAATAAAAGTTTAAAGAGAAGCTGGATTTCAAAGATTCTCTTGAAAAATTGATACTCGCATACCTTACATTTCGTTTGAAAAGGCGGGCTGAAGAGATTCGAAATTTGGCATCATCAGATAATGAAGGAGAGTTGCCTTGGGCTTGTGACTGCTGGAATGTGCGAAGAAGACCTATATTCACCGTCCTGTGACTCAGATGGCACCGAACTGTGCTTTCATCCGTCATGCAACGGACTTTGCGATATTAATGAGTCATTCCATGATTTAGTTGGCTGCTTTATGCTTGCCTTAGATGCAGGAGAACACCTTTTGGGAAAGCAAGACTATGTGAAACTCAATAGACGTCAGTTCTACTCATATCATTGTGGGAAAACTCAACTACTAGTCCTTCGTCACCTTAAACGAAATAGGGTGAATACATCTCATAAAGTTTTGTGATCATGTGGTAGTGTCTATGTGGGGGAGACTTGTCTAATCATAAATAAGATATCATCATAACAAAATCTGCCCGCAAAAGCTAATTTATTCAGAAATCGGAGGGGGCTAACCATACGGCACTAAGACACCAGGTCAAATAGTCTGAAACTCAACAAAATAAAAAGTCTTATTGAAGTTGTTTGATCTTGTTTTCGTAGCTAGAGGAACAAATCTTGTCCATTATCTATAGTATGAATGATAAATTCCAGAGTCGGAGCGTGAACTTAGTACATTCCCAGATGTTTCGCCGGCACCGCCAGTCAGCCTCTCTATCATTAGTACCACACTAAAACTTGTCAAAAAATAGAATCTAAGTCAAGTGTTTGGTCAAGTGTCTGATAAACATTTGTGGTATCTCTCTTTCTGTCCTGGGTTATTCATCTATTATATATCCTCATATCACCCCTTCAGTATCACAATTTATTACTTGTTTATCTAAACTTGGTTGAGGCCTATTCACAATCCTCGCTGGTTCCCATATCCCTTCCCACTGTGTTGGGAGTGTTGATCCAATGTTGCTGTTTAGTCCGCAATCCTCTTCCTTCAGGTCCTATCAGAGTCTCCCTCTTGTTCCGTAAAGCCCCACTATCTTGTTACTCAGATCTTCGATTAAAAAGTACTATCGTTGCAAATAGGACCGAATATGATGGAATAGGTGCCAATAATAGACTTTCTACGAAACATATATTCTAAATCCGAAGGCTGATTGAACTAAAACCAAACCAAAATAG